CGCCGCGCGTGCCCGCCGCGCCCCGCCCCCGCGGGCCCGCCCCGCCCCCTCAGAAGCTGGCCTGCAGCAGCGTGATTCTGATTGGCCGCCCGGCCACACCTTCGCGCGCCCGGCCACGCCCCCCCGCAACCTCCCGCCGCCGCCGCGACGCCTCATTGGATGCCGCAGCGGGGGCGGTGCCCGCGGGTTCGGCGGCGCTCGGCAGCCAATCAGAAGAGGCGGCTGGAGAGGCCGGTGGCTGATTGGTCCCGATGTCTCGCTCCGGCGGCGCTGCTCCAGGGGGGCGGGGCTTCCTCGGGCTCCGCGCTGGGGAGGAGGGGCCAGAATGGGCGGGGCCGCTCGGCCGAGGGGCGGGGCCGGGGCGGGGCCGGGCTCACCTGCGGGCTCGGGCTCGGGGGGTCCCCGCGGTCCCCCCGGTGTGTCCCCAGCCCCGGGGGGACATCCCCGCGCCGGGGGCTCCTCCTGGGCTTGGGGCACCTGCGGGAGGGCACAGGGAGCGCTCCTGCCGCAAACTGCCCTGTGCCCACAGATCCCCTCTGCCCCATTGCCCCTTCTCTCTGCCCCCGAGCCCCCCCATTTTGCCCCATCCCCCCCTCCCACCTCTGAGTCCCCCCGTTCTGCCCCAAACCCCCCCTCACCACGCGGATCTGCACCACAATCACCCCAGTACTTGCCCCTCTCACATTTCCCCCGTCTCAGTTCTCCCCCACCGCGGATCTCACCTCGCTGTGGGGCAGTGCAGGGCCTGGGGGGCAGCAAGGAGGGGGCACGGCTGTGCCCCCGAGCCCCTCACCCGGGGAGTGCGAGGGCAGGGGGGGCGAGGGAGGGTCCGCACCCCGGCGTTCCTGCAGCGCCTGCTGCGAGACCGACGGGGCCGAGCTGGGAAGCGGGAGAAAACAGGAGTTAAAGGGTTAACCGCCCCCAAAACCCCGCCAAATGCTCTGTGACCCCCAGAAACCCTCTGTGCTCCCCTCCCCAGATTCCCCAAAACCTCTCTGTCCCTCTCCAACCTCCTCCTGCCGCCTGGGACCCCCCAGACCCCTCCGAACCCAGCCCTTCTCTGTGCCCCCACCATGGACCCGGGCAGGGCCGATGCCCCCCGAGCCCCCCGAGCCCCCCGAGCCCCGCTCACCCGGGCAGGGCCGATGCCCCCCGGCGCAGGGCACGGACCCAGGCGCGCAGCTCCTCGGCGCTCTCGGCCCCCAGGCAGTACGTTCGCATCCCGGCGTGCTCAGCCTGCGAACGGGCAGCCGTGCTGGACCGGGCTCAGGTGCCGGGGTTCCCCCCGCGGGGCACCCCCGATCCGCGGGCCCGGGCAGCCGGGGCTGACCGTGAAGAGGAAGCGGGGGGCGCGGGGGGCGCGGGGCGCGGCGGGCAGCACGCGGATCTCGTAGCCGGGCAGGGGGAGGCCGCCCCGCACTTGCTGCTCGCTGCTGTCTGGGGGCAGAGGAAGCTCATAAGGGGGGTACCAGAGCCCCCATCTGCACCCCCAGATCTCCGGTACCACCAGGGGGGTGCCAGGGACCTCCTGTGATGCCCCCAAACCTCCTCGGAGCCCCCCAGACCTTGGAACCCCACCAAGGACTCTTCAAGCCCCCAGGGACCCCCAATCCTGGGGAATCCCTGATCCACCCAGGGACCCCCAATCCCCAGGAATTCCCAATGCTCCAGAGACCCCCAATCCCCGAGGGATCCCTGACTCCCCCAGAGACCCCCAAATACCCCAGGGAGCCTTGATCCCACCGGGATCTCTGACTGCCAAAGGACCCCCAGTCCCCCGGGATTCCTGGTCCTCCAAGGACTGCCCAACACCCCAGGAGCCCTGAGCCCCCCAGTGACCCAGGGACACGCCGGGATCACTGACCCCTTCCCCCAGGGACACCAGGTCACCCCAGCCCCCCCCCGTGCCCCCTCACCCCGGTAGTAGTAGAGGCAGAGATCCACCAGTACGAACCAGCGGCGCTTCCAGAGCCGCAGCCCCGAGCTGTCCTGAGGAGGGGGGGGGGAAGGGGGGCTGATCCCCCGCAGCCCATCCCCCCCAGGGACCCTCTGCTGCCCCAGACCCCTCAATCCCTTCCGATTCCCCCAAACCCCATAACCTCCGGCACCCTCTTCCACCCCAGACCCCATAACCGCCCCACACTGCCCGGTCTGACCATGTGTCTCTGATCTCCCCAGACCACCAAACCCCATAACCCTCCCTCACCACCCCCTGACCCCCCACAACTCCCTCTGATCCCCCCCCAAGCCCCACATCCACCCCCAATGCCCCCCCAGCTGCCCAGAGCTCCCCCCCTGTGCCCCATAGTTCCCTATGGATTCCTGGGCTCCCCCAATGCTCCACATGCCCCCCTCGAGCTCCCTCGGGTGCCCAGGGTCCCCTGAACTCCCCCCAACCCCTACAACCCCCCACACCCCCCGTGGTTCCCCAGTTTCCCCCTCACGTCCCCTCTGCCCACCTGGGTGCGGGGGCCAGCGGGGGCGGGGTCCCGGCGGGCGGGCTCGTCGCTTTCTGCCATGGGGGGTCCTGCGGAGGCAGCGGGGGCCGGGGGGGTCCCCATCAATGTCCCCATTGTCCCCGCGGGGACAGAGGCCCCGTTCTTCCCGCTGCGGGGGCGGGGGCTGCTCCCGGACGCCTGGGTCCCCCCGGGGGTGTCGGGGGCGCTTCTCGGCTCCCGCTGCTCCCCTCCCCCTCCTGCTCCTGCCCCGTCCACCTCTGCTGGTCCCGGTTCAGTAACCCTGAACTGGTCCCGGTTCCCATCCCAGTAACCCTGAACTGGTCCCGGTCCCTCCCGTGCTGGACTCAGTGTCCGTCCCGGTAACTCTGAGCGGGTCCCAGTTTCTGTTTCGTTCCCCCGTGCTCGTCCCGTTGTCCCACACCGATCGGGGTGGCGGTCCCGTCCCCTTGCGCTGGTGACGGGTCCCGGCCACCGCCCCATCACCCCAGCGACGGTGCCGGCTCCATTACCGCGGCTGCTGCTGCTCCCGGCGCCGTCCGGTGTCCCGCTGCTGGGGCCAGCCCGGTCCCGTTGCGCCGCGCTGGTCCCGGTCCCGGTCCCAGTCCCAGTCCCGGTCTCGGTGCTGGTCCCAGCCGCAGTCCGGGTCCCAATCCCAGTCCCGGTGTCCCAGTCCCAGTCCCAATCCCACTCCCAGTCCCGGTGTCCCAGCCGCAGTCCCGATCCCAGTCCCGGTCCCAGTCCCGGTGTCCCAGTCCCGGTGTCCCGATCCCAATCCCGGTCCCGGTCCCGGTGTCCCAGGGGCAGTCCCGGTCCCGGTCCCAGTCCCAGGGGCAGTCCCGGTCCTGCCCCGTGCCCCGCCCGCCCCGGGCGCTGGTCCCAGTCTCTGCCGCCACCCACGAGCCCGGACACGCGGGTGCCCCCGGGACCGCGTGGGTCCCCTCGCCACGGCAACCACCGAGGGCACCCCGTGTCCCCCGGGAACCCCGTCCTGCGGGGACACCCACGGCACTGGGGACACCCGTGACACGGGCTCACGGTACCTCAAGGACCTCACGGACGCACAAACCCCTCACATCTCAGAGGTCCCTGACACCCCAAGGACCCTTACACCCCACGGACACACCCCCGGACACCCCACGGGCTCCTGGCACTTCAGGGACCCTGGACATCCCGGGCACCCCGGACCTCCCACAGACCCTGGACTCCCCAGTGACCCCGGGGACTCCACTGACCCTCCAGAGAGCCCGGATTCCCCAGGGACCCCACAGGGACTCCGGACATCGCCGAATCCCGAACACTCCCCGGACCCCTGACACCGCACGGGCCCCGGACGCGCCAGGGTCCCCTGACACCTTCCCGTGTCCCCGTGTCTCCGTGTCCCGGTGTCCCCCGTGTCCCGGTGTCCCGGTTTCCCGGTGTCCCCCGTGTCCCGGTGTCCCCATGTGTCCTGTGTCTCCCGTGTCCCCCATGTCCCGGTGTCCCGGTTTCCCGGTGTCCCCCGTGTGCCCCACGCCGGGTCCCTGTGTCCCCGTGTGCCCTGTGTGTCCCGTGTCCAGGTGTCCCGGTGTCCCGGTATCCCCATGTCCCGATGTCCCGTGTCCCCACGCCGGGTCCCGGTGTCCCGTGTCCCGGTGTCCCCGGTCCCCATGTCCCCACGCAGGGTCTCGGTGTCCCGTGTCTCCGTGTCCCCTATTGTCCCGGTGTCTCGGTGTCCCCGTGTGCCCCGTGTCCCCATTGTCCCCATTGTTCCCGTGTCCCCCGTGTCTCGGTGTCCCGGTGTCCCCGTGTCCCCCACTATCCCGTGTCCCCGTGTCCCGGTGTCCCTTGTCCCCCCGCCGGGTCCCGGTGTCCCCATGTGCCCTGTGTGTCCCGTGTCTCCGTGTCCCCCTGTGTCCCCCGTGTCCCGGTGTCCCTCACGCCGGGTCCCGGTGGGCCCGTGTGCCCTGTGTCCCCCGTGTCCCCCCCTGTCCCCGTGTCCCATGTCCCAGTGTCCCCCTGTCCCCGTGTCCCCGTGCTGTCCCCCTGTCCCCCTGTCCCGGTTCTCGTCCCCGCGGGCAGAGCGCTCCGCCCGCCGCCAGGGGGCGACACGGCCACGCCCAATCGCTTCCTCACACAGCTCTTAACGGCCCCGCCTCACCCCGCCCCTTCTCTTGAGCGGCGTCCCGCCTACCCAGTCACAGACGCTGCTGCTCCCGCTTCTCCAGTACACCCCTTTCTATTGGCTGCAAGGTGCGGCGAGGGCGGGCACACGGCGCGGCGCGGCCAATGGCACGGCGGAGGGGGCGGGGCCAGGCCGCCATGGCGCCGCCGCCGCGCTGACCGCGCTGCGCCGCCATGGCCGGGGCCATCGCGTCCCGCATGAGCTTCAGCTCCCTCAAGCGCAAGCAGCCCAAGACCTTCACCGTGCGCATCGCCACCATGGACGCCGAGATGGAGTTCAGCTGCGAGGTGACGGCCCGCGCGGGCGCGGGTCCCGCTGAGGGGACGGGCCCCGGCCCCCCCAGCCCTGAGGGGCCGGAGCCCCTCACGGTCCCCCCACCCTCCGCCGCTTCCCGGGGCCTGCCCTGGGCCAGCAGCGCCACAGCCCTGTTTTGGTTATAAATCGGCGTTGTCCTGGTGTGACTTTGGTTATAATTGCGCTTTATTCTGGTTATAATTCGGCTTGTTTTTGGGTTGTAATTCACCTTTACTTTGGTTATGGATCGGTGTAATTTGGCTTTACTTTGGTTATAACTTGGTTTTGTTTTGGTTGTAATTCGGTGTTATTGTGTGTGTAATTCAGTTGTAGCCTGGTTTAGTTTGGCTTTATTTTTGTTATCATTAGTCCTTCTCGTGTGTGTAATTCAGCATTGTTTTGGTCATAAATTGGCTTTTTTTTCTGGGTATAATTTGGCTTTATTCTGAGTATAATTTGGCATTATTCTGGTTATAATTCATCCTATATTTTGCTTATAATTCAGCTTTATTCTGGCAATAATTCATCTTCACTCCAGGTGTAATTTAGCTTTATTTGGGTTATAATTTGGCTGCATTCTGTTTATAATTCAGTCTCATTCTGGGTGCAATTTGGCATTATTCTGCTTATAATTCATCCTGTACTTTGGCTATAAATCAGCTTCATTCTGGGTATGATTCAGTTTAATCCTGGTTATAATTCAGCTTTATTCTCATTACAACCCAGCTCCCTCTGGGCTCTGATCCAGTGCTGTCCTGCCATCCCAGCCCAAGTCACCACTGCACTGTGGCTGTCACAGGGCCTGAGGAATCTCAGTGCCAAGCCTTGAATCCACAGGAATCCAACTCCCAAGTGCTCCACAAACGCCCAGGAACAGAATTTTGGCATTTCCCTGAGCTCTTAGCTCACCATGGGGCTGAGGGATGCTCAGGGGGGTTGGGTCTGGCTTGTCTGTGGTAATTTCCCTTTTTGGGGCCCTTGGAACTTGTAAAAGCTTCTCCCAGGGCGTTGCTGCCAAACCCTGGGCTCTGCTCTGCTTTTCCAGCTGATCCAGAGGGCTTGGCCACACAAACACTGCAACCCAGTCCAGCCTCTGTGTGTAATAGTTTATATTTCATTATCCTGACCCAAACCTGAGGGGCTCCCGGGGCCCATCTGCCAAGGGGAGTTTGTCAGCACCGATTTCCCTGCTCTGGAAATCTGCTCTCAGCCCTGAAGAGCTTCCTGCTTTTCCTGGGGATGGAGGATTTGCTCTGGGCAGCCGCGCGAGCTTCCCGCTTCCCGCAGAGTGTGAATGTCCTGCCTCTGGGTTTGTTGCTTTCCCGAGGCTGCGGCAATGGCTATAAAGTAAATAATTGTGAGTTTCAGTGCCGTGGCCGGGTGTCACTTCCCGCTGGGATCGGGGGCTTTGTGCAGCCTGAGGCAGCACTCCCGTGGGATTTGGCTGTGGGGCTGCTCCATCTCCAGCTGGCTTTTCTGGGAGGATCCTGCCAAAGGAACTTGTTGCTGCAGAGAGGCTCCTGCAGCTGGAAGGAGCTCAGAGCTGCTGAGGGCTCCTGGTGTTGGAGCTGGTGCTGGGGGATGCAAAGGGAACTCAGGCCTCATCCTTCAGCGTGGAATATTGGAGCAGGGGATGGATGGATGGATGGATGGATGGATGGATGGATGGATGGATGGATGGATGGATGGATGGATGGATGGATGGAGGTGGGTGATGGGGCTGTTTCACTCCTTGCAGGTGAGGAGTCAGTTTTTATGGAATCATGGAATGGTTTGGCTAAGAAGGGACCTTAAAGCCCATCCAGTGCCACCCCTGCCATGGCAGGGACCCCTCCCACTGTCCCAGGCTGCTCCCAGCCCCAGTGTCCAGCCTGGCCTTGGGCACTGCCAGGGATCCAGGGGCAGCCACAGCTGCTCTGGGCACCCTGTGCCAGGGCCTGCCCACCCTGCCAGGGAACAATTCCTAATTCCCAATATCCCATCCATCCCTGCCCTCTGGCAGTGGGAGCCATTCCCTGTGTCCTGTCCCTCCATCCCTTGTCCCCAGTCCCTCTCCAGCTCTCCTGGAGCCCCTTCAGGCCCTGCAGGGGCTCTGAGCTCTCCCTGGAGCCTTCTCCTCTCCAGGTGAGCACCCCCAGCTCTCCAGCCTGGCCCCAGTCCCTGGAGCTGGATCTCTGTCCCAGTTTTTGTGCTGCACTTGGGAGGCTCTGGGAAAGCTCCTCGTTGTGCTGACTGCAGAATGATCCGTGGGACAGGGGGCTCAGGGACACCTCCAGTGGCTGGGGTGGGAACGTGGCCCCGGGAAGGGCTTGCCTTGCTGTACACCCATGGTGAGCCCTGGAGCCAGGAGTGGAGTTTGTGCCCTCCTGAGGGGCAGTGGCGTGGCAGAGTTGATTTTTGGGACAGACCATGCTCCTCCCTGAAGGAATCCGGCCCCTATCCCAAAGTTTGCCAGAAGAGTGAGCAGTACTGTTTACCCAGCTGTCTGTGTGCTTTGAGGTGCCTTTGGCCAGGAAGGAGGGGGAATTCTGCCTCACAAACACTTGAGAGTTTCAGTGGAAGGAGGTGCAGTGGGAATCCTGTGATTTGGGGGCTCCTCAGATGTGTTTTTGTGGCCTGTGAGTGGCACCTCATGCTGACAGGGACAGAGAGCTGCTGCTCTGTTGGATGTCTGGGTTGGTCTTCCATGATCCCTGGGGGTTCCTTGCAGCTCAGGATATTCCATGACCCAGCTGTAGCTGCTGGAGACTCACCTTCTTTCTCAGTGCTAATTTTTCAGTCTGCTCCCTAGCAATCCCAGCTGTGCATTTTGAGGGATTAAACCTGCTTTGCATCTGTTTATTCTACAGTTGATGTCTCTAAATTGAGCCTAAATCTAAAATAATTCCTAGAAATGAAATCTTAATATTTCTAACACAGCGATGGAGATTAATAATCACGGTTGGGGTTTCACTTTAAAGACTTCAAATTTGTTTGGGGAAATCTTGGAGGCACGAAGCGGGTGTCTTCCTTTTGTTACTTCCATCTCGGAGGTTTGAGCTGTACCTAATTAATTGATAACATCTGGAGGAAGGGAAGACATTTGCATAGCTCTTGAATCCCTGTGCTAAAGCATCCCCAGCTGCTGCCTCACCTTCCTGAGAGCCTTGGACAGCCATGGGAAGCCTCTTCCCATGGTGAGGCTGGTGAGGCCCTGGCACAGGGTGCCCAGAGCAGCTGTGGCTGCCCCTGGATCCCTGGCAGTGCCCAAGGCAAGGTTGGAGAGGCTTGGAGCAGCCTGGGATACTGGAAGATATCCCTGTCCAAGGCAGGGAGGTGGAACAAGGTGGCCTTTCAGTCCCTTGCGACCCAAACCACTCCATGAGTTACTCAGCAATGAAAACCCCGTGGTGTTTTTGGGTGTACATCCAAAGCACTGTTTATGCCACCTCTGGTGGGATGGCAGAGGGTGGAGCAGCCAGTGTCAGCTTGGTCTCCCCACCTGCCATGTGCAGTTTTTTCCCTCTCAAAACCAAGTTCCCTGGCTGGTGGGAGAATCCCTCCATCTTTCTTTTGGTCTCCTGGGTGTCTTTGCCAATTTCTTCCTCTTGCAGTGCTCAGCCCTGTTAGTGTCTCTCCATCTCAGAGCCACGGCCCATTTTCCAAAGGTTTGTTTTTCCCTTTCTGTTGTGTTGTGATTTTGGGCTTGAATCCTGCAGGGATGGTCACTCCATCAAGGTGCAGCTCGCTGCCCAGCTGCTTCCCAACCTTTATCTTTTGGTGTCTTAAAAAAGAATTGGAAAAGCTTTACAGCCAGCCCAGAGAAACAGCTTAAGTGTTCAAGCAGCGACAAGAGCAGGATTGTGCTGATGTATTTGCTGGTCTAAACATGCATCCAGTTATTGCTTCAGTGCTTAAGCTGTTCCTCTCTGTCCAGAGGATAATCCTGGTTGGAAGGGATCTTTATTTTAGCCCAGTGTCCCACTCAGTGCAGGGCCAGTTGGATGTAAAGCCCTTGTAAGTAGAAGAGTCCTGATTTCGGCCACGTGTGGCCGAGTGCTGTCCCTTTGTCACCAGACACAGGGACTTGTGTAGCTGAGCTGCAAAGCTCATCTTCTGGAACAGGAACAACCACGGATTTGGTGGTGGAAATCTGGGTGGAAATGAGTTTTTGAGGAAGAGCTGGTGCAGTAAATCCGAGCTGAGTTTTGAGCTGTGTCCAGTCACTGCACCAAAATGAAAAGGCAGGAGGAGGAAATCAGGGAGCGGAATGCCCTTGGCTTCCTTCTGCATTGCAGGATACTTGGAAGGGGTTTATAAAGATCCATACATTCCCAATTTCAGGCAGCAAGGTGCTGGTAGAACAGTGACCTCTTCATGCTGCAAAGCTTCTGTGAGTGGACAGAAACTTAACAGGAAAAGAGCAGTCTGTGTGCGGGAGCAGCTGTTTAAAAAGCTGAGAGAAATAATCCCCCTCAGCTACAACTTGATCCCAAATAAATTGTTGGGATACCAGCTGTCAGGTCTGTGTTTTGTTCCTCCATGTGCCTCTGTGTCCTGGTCTTGTGCCAGCACTCAGGAGCACGTGCTGCTCTCTTTGAATCTGAGACACAGCAGGTAAGGGCTTTTTCCTCACTCGTGTCTTGGAGGGGTTTATTCCCAAAACCTCAGAATTTCTGATTCACAACAGTGACATTTGGGAGTTGGTGTTTTGGAGGTGTTTTCCTTGGTGCAGTTCATTCCCTTAAGTTGTGCTTGTGACTTGTGGACATGGATCCTCTTTGGCTTTGTTGCCTCACCCTGCACCTGAAAAGTTTTCTGGATCCCCTGCTCCCATCACAGCCTCTTCCAAGCCAGTAGGGAACTCCTGTTGCTTCTCTCCAAAGACTGTTCAAAACTGCTGTCAATCCCCAGACTCTGTTAATTAATCCAGAGATGTGTTGAGGCAGAGGGGAAGGACGGAGGGCATTTGGGACAGTGTATCTTTCTCTTTTGGTGTGTAGACTCCAGTTTTGATGCTCTTTAATACCTTTTTTTTTTTCTTTGTACAGGCAGTGTCTTTCAAGTAGGTGGTTTGTGAAATTAAAGGTACTTGAACAGGGAAGCAGCCCTGGGAATAATCTTCTTGAAGCTGGGAGGCAACACTGGTAGGGAATGACAGAGCCCTGGAAATGGGAAGAGAGGCATTTAAGGTGGCATCACCCCGAGGTGAGCCACTGGCTGCCCTCCCAGCCTGGCTGAGCTGTCTGTGTTCTGAGGCTCATCAGAGCGGGTCAGGCTGGGCTGCAGCACCCTGTGGCCATCAGCAATCAGCTCCTGCATGGAGGGAAGGCCTGGGGCTGTCCCTTCTGGGCCAGGGAGCAGGGTTGTGCTGCACATGTGTAAGTGCAGCACGGAGACAGCTCTGTGCATCCTCAGCAGAGCTCCCTGCAGGATCCAAACCCTCCTTTTGTCCTCTTGGAGCTTCTTGCTCTGCACTGAGCTGCTGCTTGACCCTGTAACTTCATCTGTGTGAGCCCAGCTTACAGGGTGAGGTGAGACTTTAGGACAGGAAATCATGGAATGATTTGGGTTGGAAGGGACCTTAGAGCACCTCCAGTTCCATCTTCTACCATGGGTAGGGACACCTTCCAGCATCCCAGGGTGCTCCAAGCCTCATCCAGCCTGGCCTTGGACATTGCCAGGGATCCAGCCACAGCTTCAATCCGTGCTTACAGAGAACAATTCCTCATCAATATCCCATCCATCTTTCTTTTGGTCTCCTGGGTGTCTTTGCCCAAACCATTCCAATATTCCTCTGGCAGTGGGAGCCATTCCCTGTGTCCTGTCCCTCCATGCCTTGTCCCCAGTCCCTCTCCAGCTCTCCTGGAACCTCTTCAGGCCCTGCAAGGGGCTCTGAGGTGTCCCTGGAACCTTCTCCTCTCCAGGTGAGCACCCCCAGCTCTCCCAGAGAGAGAGGCTCCAGCCCTTGGGGCATCTCCGTGGCCTCCTCTGCACTGGCTCCAGCAGCTCCAAGTCCCTTCGGTGCTGGGACCCCAGATCTGGAGGCAGCTCTGCAGGTGGGGTCTCACCTGAGCGGGGCAGAGGGCACATTGTCACCCGTTGTTGTCCCCTGCCCCTCCCCTGGCTGTCTGTCCCCGGCGTTGCCGCTCCGTCTCTGTCTCGGGCAGACACCACGGAACGTGCTTGGCTGCACCATCTGCCTCCTCACGCCTGGGCGCGTTTTTGGCCTCCTCGGTGGTTAACAGAAATAGGTTTTAATTAAAAGCTCATTATCGAGTTGTCGTGTAGCATTAGTAAATAAAAATAACTTTTACAGCCCAGCCCTGTGACTCAGTAAGTGGCAATTGAAAATATTTGACATCACTTTATTTAAAACAAAATTGACGAATATTACACTTTTGATTCCCTGTTTGCTCCAAATGGGCTTTAAATCTAAATAAATGGTTGTCTGTGGCACTGTGGTTATCATTCAGGTCCAGAAGGAGAAATAAGTGTGGTCTGCAGTCTCAAAATCAGCTCCATTTCAGTTGTAAACTGTTGCGGCTGGGTGGTTTGGGCATCTCCTGTGGGATGGGGGTTTGGAGTAGCTACAGCCTACATCCATTTCCTCATTCCCAGGTTGTTAGTGGAGGGATGCTCTGCTCAAGCCCAGCTCTCTCCCTTTTGCCCTCTCCATCCCTGTTTCAGTGGTGTCGTGTTTTCTCCTTAAGATTTTGATCCTAAACAGGAATAACTTCACTCTGAGCACTTTTTCCTGGGGCTTGGTCCCCTTTTCCCAGCAGTCCTTTGGCTGTTGTCTCACAGTAGGGACTCTTGCCTCTGTTTACATCCCTAGCATAGAGCTAACACCTAATAAAATTATCTGCAAAGCAAAAAGCCATTTTCTGTGTTATTTATGGGTAAATTGGTGCAGTAAAAGACTCTGTAAATGTGAGTCATTTCTGCAAGGTCGTGCCTTAACCTTGTTCCATGGGTGGGTGTGCAGAGGCCGCTGCTCTGGGTTTCCTGGGAAGCAGCTGAGCCTTGGTATCCTCTGCTCACTTTTTTGTGCCCTTATTGTCCACCCTGATCCCTGGAAAAGCTGAAGCTCCAGGGGTTTGTGTTTATGATGAGGAGGTGAGATCTTCATCTGTGCCCCCTGAGCAGAGCCAGGTTCTGTCCCCTGGACTTTGGGCACCTCCCTGTTATCCCAGGAGAGCCTGTTGTGTGAGGAACCTAAATATTAAATTAAACACATCCTTCTTACCTCCCCTTTACCGCATTTGACATTGTTGGAAGAAAAGCATCAAACTGATAATGTTTTGGGAATCTCTTTTCTGTGTAGACCCCTCGCTCAACCCTCTCTGTGCAGGATGGTTGCACCCCCTTGTCCCTTGCTGCCCATTTTTTAGAATTGTGGAATGGAAGGGAGCCACAGGATCATCCAGCCCAGCCCTGTCCTGCCCAGACCCCCAACAACCCCACCCTGTCCATCCCTGGCAGCGCTGTCCAAAGGCTCCTGGAGCTCTGGCAGCCTCGGGGCCGTGCCCATTCCCTGGGGAGCCTGGGCAGTGCCAGCACCCTCTGGGGGAAGAACCTTTCCCTGAGCTCCAGCCTAAACTTTCCAACACAGTTCTATTCCTTGGCTTGCCCTCCCTCCTTGTCACCCCTGATGAGAGGACCAGACAACCCTTCTGCTCGTTTTTGGATCTGCTTTATCGAGTGGGGAGCTGAGGAGCAGTTGTGAAACTTGACAGAGAGGTTGTGCTCCGAAATAAATCGCGCAGTTGCCTGCGAGTTGGAAATGACTCCCGGTGCAGGTTAATAAATAATGCAAACCCTGTTAATAGATGCCAAATGCGCCGTCTCTGCCGGAGAAAAAGATGATGCCAATAATCTGGGCTGGAAATACTCCGTTCTAGCCACTGGCTGGAGAGTTTTAGTGTTTAGTGCTGCTAATTTAAAATGTTTTGCTGATAGATTGTAACCACTCTGTACTTGGTAAAGAACACAAACGGCTCTGTGGAGTAACAGCCTGTTTATAACACACCTCATTCCCCTGTCCCTACCGCGGCTCCTGAATCCCTGCAGCCACCCGTGCTGTGATCCTGCTAATGGGAAAGGAGCTGCAAATGTCAGAGGTGATGCCTGCAGCACGGGGAGGATGCTGGAGTGACGCATCCCTCCCTGTCCTGACGGTCACATTGAGGTTATCATGATGTAGCGTTTTGCTGGGAGATGGAGCTTTGTTACAGCATCGTGCCAGCCACCCCAGCATACGGCTGAGGAGGTTTTTTTCACCTCTGAGCTTCTTAGTTTTGTTTTCAGGAGCTCAGAATGGCTTGTAAAATCATCTTTGTGCTTCAGGTGTCACTTGAGTGCCGTGCAGGGAATGGTGTGACGGACACAGTGTGGATGGGAACGGCCAGCCTGTCCTGGCTGTCCCCCAGGCTCTCTGGACAGCAGCTCTGTCCATCCCCTCATGCCCCGCAGGAGCTTTTTATCTAGCAGTTTACAGCCACAGAATGTGGCAGTTAATGATACAAAGCCTGTGAAGTATGGGTGAGGAGGGCCGAGGTCCTGGATGTCTGTAAAGCAGTTGGGTTCAGCTGTCAAAAGATGCCACTTGCATGCAGATGGTTATTTTAAGTACCGAGGTGTGGAGGGAAATCATGTCTGTTGGAATAAAGGTGGCTGCTGATCATTGATATATTTAATGAAGGTAATTCAGCGCAGCTGGGGAGGATGTGTGCTCTGTTATGGCTGGAGTCTTGAGCATTGTGCAAGAATGTTAAATGTCTCTTCCTGCCACCACAGAAACGCGTGGTGACAAAGCGCTGGTGTAAAATGCAGCAGCAGAAGCCTCACTTAAAATACAGTCCCTTAAAGAGGGGCTCGTAAAAAAAGGAGAGAGAGCTTTTAATGCAGGCAAATAGTGATAGGGGAAGGGGGAATGGGTTTAAACTAAAAGAGGAAAGATTTAGGTTAGGTGTCAGGAAGAAATCCAGCTGTGAGACCCTGGCATGGGCTGTGCAGAGCAGCTCTGGCTGCCCCTGGGTCCCTGGCAGTGTCCAAGGCCAGGTTGGACAGGTTTGGAGCAGCCTGGGATAGTGGAAGGTGTCCCTGCCCATGGCACTGGGTGGTCTTTAAGGTCCCTTCCCACCCAAACCATTCCAAATTCCCATCACCAAGTTGAAACTGCACAAAGCTCCTGCTTTAATCCACAGTGCTGCTCTTCAAAACAAACTGGTGGTTTGTGTTTTGAGAGGAAACCTTTGGGTCCTGTGAGCTCTTGAGCACAGTTTGGGTACCTGAGGTGGTTCAGTGAGGAGTCACGGCCAGTGGAAATTCCAGGTTTAACGTACTGATCCCATGGGATGTGGAGCCACGTCCTGGTGCTGCCATCAGCAGCCTGTCCTGGGAAGGTTTGGTGCAGGCACTGCTGTGCTGAGACTGAAATACGGTCTTCGAGAAGGAAAAACAGCCCATAATGCTTTATACAAAGCAGTTTAGTGAAGAAATAGCCTTTTGCTGGCAGCCTGCTTTTATGTGCCTGCAAAAATGGTACCAAATAGCTCTTTTAATGGGCCTCACTCTGTTTTGTCTGAGCCCTCGAATTAACCTCCCACTTAAAATCATAGTCAGGAAAAGATCTTCTGCAGTCTGAGCCATCCTGTGCCGAGCTGGAGCCCACCCGGGGGCTGGAGGATAGTGAAATGTGTGAAATTAGGGGGGTTATAATTACAGCACTGCCAAACTTGCTGCTCCTGGCGTTCTGACCCCGAGGTGTTGACAGCGCCCGATCCGCATCGCGGCGAGCCGTCCGGGGGTGGTGATTTCGGGAGGGCGGCGGCGGCTTTGTCCTATTCCGGGACTGTCAGCGTGTGTGTCTGTGCTCCCCGGCAAGGGGGAGAGCCGTGACGGAGTCATCGCTGAAAGGCAGAGCGTGGCTGAGCTGGGCCTGGCTGTGCCCACAAGGCGGCAGTGGGTGACAGCGGGAGCGGCCCGGCGCTCATATTGATGTGTCCAGGTGGCACCAGGATTGAGTTGTAGTGACAAGAGAGCGCGCCAGATCTGTTTGCCCAAGGGCTTTGGAGTAATGGCCATATGTCTGGGGCCAGCAATTGTTTTCAGCGCGCAGATGGAAGACCAAAGTGGCTTTGGCATATTAGATTCACGTGGTTTATGTCCCTCTTCACCTCTCTGCCTCCCAACACCTCCCGGTTTTATGAGCAAACTTCAGCAGCATCATGGATGCAGCTGCAGGATTGCTCCAAGGACATGGTCCTTGAGCAACCAATTTTCTCTGCTCCTTGGCTGCTTCTGTCACCAACATTTTCAGCAGAAAATGCAGCTTAACTGTATCAAAATGTGCTCCCAGAGAACCGCTGACTTCAGTGGTAACGATGGGGATTTTGGAGCTCTTTTTTCCCTTCTATCTGTGCAGGATCTGTGGCTCTGGACGCACACGCTCTGTGCAGGGATTGTGTCACTGCTGATTTTGTGGCTCCTCTCTCTGAACCCCTGGTGCTGATGTGCAGGGCTTCCTGAGCCTGTAGAGAGACACGTTAAAGCCACCAAGGGACAGTTCAAAGGGATTTTTATTCCCTTCTGGCAACAGGCAGGAACCTAAACATGTCGGGAGCCTTAAACTGAGCTCAACAAGAGCCTGAATGAACCCTTAGTTTCCCAGGGCAAGAAACAGGGGCTTTACGGTGTCATTTTTTGGAAAAGGGGGGAAATCACATTTCAGTTTCCTACTGAGGGAGGAGCTGGTGATCTGCAGATGAGATCAGATGGAAGGAGATAAGGTGTGCCTGGGTAGGGTGTTCTCATGTCTGTACCAGATGCATTCTCGGGGGTTTAAAGTTGACCTTGAGAGGTGAAAGCAGTGCATTTGGATGAACAGAGAGAAGTTCTGAAATCCACCTTTGTAACTCTGCTTCCTGTTTGCTCTCTGGCAGGTGAAGTGGAAAGGGAAGGACCTGTTTGATCTGGTGTGCAGGACCCTGGGACTGCGGGAAACCTGGTTCTTTGGGCTGCAGTACACGATCAAGGACACGGTGGCTTGGCTCAAGATGGACAAGAAGGTTGGAACCAAAACTCACAAAATCCCGGAAAGGTTTGGGTTGGAAGGGACCCTGAAGCTCATCTCATTCCAAGCCCTTGCCATGGACAGGAATATTTCCCTTGAGTCATTGTGTGGGATGACAAAGGAGAATGTCCTTTTGTCTTTGAATGCCTGAGGTTGTGTAGAGGGTGAACTGGGACAGATGTACTTAAATCCCATCTCTGTGGTATCTGGGGGTGTCAGACTGGGAAAAGAGGGCAGAGATGCCCCATCCCAGCATCTGTGCACACTGAATCCCCTGGAGACATTTTGGGTCCCAGTCATGCTGGGGTGCTGCACTTTGGGTGACTGCAAAGCAAATGAAACCTAAAACTCTCTCTTTTGTGCCCCTGAACACAAAACCATCAGCAGAAAAGTGGAGTTGCCTCTTGTTTTGTTGTTGAGAAATACAGAGAGCTTGGGAGGAGGAAAACCAGAGTGAAAAGGAGATGGGAATAAGGGAGGAAAGGCTCCCCAGATCTGTGAGGGGAGGGTTTTGGAGGTGTCAGGGGTGGCTCTGTTCATGTCCAAAGGATGTGACACTACAGCCAGATGGTCAGGGACACCAAAGGAGGCCTGGGTGTCTCACCTCTCAGGCTGAGGTTTTAAACAGCATTTAACTGGGGAGTAGCAGAGCAAGGTGGTCAGAAACACCAGTGAATAAACTCAGTGCAGGAAAACAAGGAGAAAGTCGGGTGGTGGCGCAGCAGGATCCCACATCTCTCTGCAAGTACCAGGAGAGGCAAGGAGCACGTGGCAGATCAGGATCAACCTTCACTGTCTCATTTCTCATGCTGTTTGTTTCTGCCTTTTTTTGTTCCCTTGCATCATTAGGAGTGTCAGAAATGTTTGTTTTCTTTTTTTAACTATGGTGTTTGAACTATTTAGGTCTGTTCTAGATGTCTAAAAGTGTCTGACAGAATATGTACTCATCTGAACAGAAGGGAGCTGGGTCTTGCCTTGAAGAAACCAAATGGCTTTTGTATCCCACAGGTCCTGGATCATGATGTTCCCACAGAGGAGCCCAAAACTTTTCACTTCCTGGCCAAATTTTACCCTGAGAATGCAGAGGAGGAATTGGTCCAGGAAATCACCCAGCACCTGTTCTTCCTGCAGGTAGGAGTCAATGCACTGCTCTCCAACCTGAAGGAGAGGGAGCCAGGATGAGCAGAAGGTCCCAGGGTCAAGGAGTTGGTCAGCAGAGTGTGCTCCACATCCTTATGTTCACACCCCTCCAAAGACACTTGTCCTTAGCAACAGATACTTCCTAAATCAGGTGAAGGATGGTTTTTGTGGAGGAAGCAGCTTGCCCAGACTGCCAGACCGCCTCTGAAGTGGCAGTAAGGAATGATGAGGTGATCCATAATATCCATGGGTGGTGGCTCAGGGACATGGATCTGTCAGCCAAGGGCTCATGTCCCTCTGCAGGGTGTGGGATGAGCTGTGCTGAGGGGTGGCAGCTGCCTTTGGACGTGACTGCAATGCTGTGTGGAGCAGGGCAGTTTGGTCCTGGAGAGCAGAGTGCAGCCAGCCTGTTCCCAGGCTGACAGCAAAGTTCCCCTCCTCACTGAACAGCCTTCAGGCAGCTGGAGCAGAAGAACATCCCAGCAGCTCAGCTCTCTGATGGAAAAACAGAGGAGAAGGGGAAACCTCACAGTCTCACCTGCCCCAGGAACTCCTGCCCTGCAGTTAAGCATTTAGAAACTCTGGTGAACACATCCTGGTTGGTTTTTTTACTTAAATTATTCCACAAAACTTTGTGTCCTGAGAAATCAGTTCAGCTGATGATGTGACAATGCTGCACGGCTGGTAACAAGGAGCTGCTGTCACAGGAGCTCTCTTTCAGAGACATGATCAATTTTCTGCCACAAAATCCATTTTCTGACACATTTTTCCTCAGAAGAGTTGTGTCAAGCACGGTTACAGGGAACAGAGCCCTCCTAGTCAGACTCCTGGGTACTCACTGGGATGTTTCAGCTGCTCTCTGGCTGTTAATTTGAAGATAAATTACAAAAACTTTTAACAAGTCACTCATTGTTATGTTTCTTACACCACAGTCAGGACAACCTGGATTTGGGAATACCTCTGTAGCCTCCAGGGTGTCCTGCTCTTTCCAAGTGAGCTCACCAGCCTCTTGATACTTCTCACTCTTCCAAAGTCCATCTTTTTTCTCTAGAGCCGAAAGTGTTCTAAATGCAAAGTATTCCTGTTAATTTCCAAGCTCAGTCTCGTGCACTGGTGTCTCTGTAGGGTTATTTCTGAATGCCTCATTTGCCAGGAGCTTTATCCACGGTGAGGAAAAATGCTGTTGGCATCTTTGAGAAGGAAAATCAGAGAGGAAAAGCCATTCAAGCTGCATTTTCTAAATGCAGACCATGACTTTGCTGCTGGGATTTGTGTGCTGAGAGGAACCTGGGCTCCTGAATGCATTTGGGAAACAGGAGCACATCTAAGCTTGTAAACTCTCCTGTTTTTTATCTTGATGCAGCAGAATATCTGCTGTGATTATGTTGTACCCAACTTTGAGGACTCAAAGCACGTTATAAATTCAAATTGATGTTCCTGCATCTCCAACAATCCATTTAAGCCTCCCAGGAAATCGTAGGCTTTTTAAATTTTTTTCCCCCCTATCTTTAATCAGGAAAATTAAGTGTGCCAACCCAAAAAATATCGAACATGACAGGTTTAATTTCTGAATGCACAGGAGGCAGGGAAGTAAAGCTGTGGCCTCGGGGAGCTGCGCGTTGGCTCTCCTGGGAGCACACGCAGGGCTCTGCCTGCTGCTGGAAGCTCTGCCATGGAGGTGACCCCCAGCTCTCCGTGCTGGGATCCAAGGAATTGGCCTCCAGCACAGGTGAGCACTGACTCACAATGAGGCCTGAATGTCCCAGAGCAAAGCTTGCAGTGCTCAGAGACTCGGCTGCAAGCTGCTCTTTTATTTAGCAGCGTGGCTCAATGTCCTATCAATCTGTAGCTCGTGCCTGAAGAGGTTTTATTGCTGTGTTTACATGCAAGGTTCTCCCCCCACCCCTTGCCTTTAGCAACAGGATAAAGGTGCTGTCATTTCCCACATATAAATTTAGCTCTTCTCACCAGCCTGTCTGAGAAAGGTGTTCTGTGAAAGCCTGAGCCCTTCCGAGCCGCCAGAGATTTCCTGGGTCTGGACTGTGATTAGTGTTAGGAAAATTGTTAACTCTGTGTGGTTGACAGCTCAAGTTAAAACAAACTGCAGCCATCTGCTGTGACAGTCATGCTCTGCTGTGCTCCACTAAACGTGTGTTATCTGTCCTTTGCTGCTCTGTGTGCAGGTGAAGAAGCAGATTTTGGATGAGAAGATCTTCTGTCCTCCTGAAGCCTCTGTCCTGCTGGCCTCTTACGCTGTCCAAGCCAAGGTAGGCAGCAAGGGATGCTCCAAGGGCCTGCTGGGGTAGTGTTGGTCCAGGTGCTTTGTGCTGGAGCCACTTCCTGGGCAAAGGGAAGGCAGGGAAAGCTGTGAAAGCTTGGGAAGTGAGGGGGCTACACCAGCACTGCTGCCTTCTGCACATGGCTGGTTCCTGGCTACCTCCAGACATTGGATGGATTTTTGCTTTCTCTTTCCAGGACTCTTTAGCAAATGCTCAGCTCATGAGCTGCAGAGCCTGCTTGAGTGTGGCTTACTGCTGGAGCAGATGAATTCCCTGAGCCTGAGGCTTTTTGGATCTCCTCCCTGCTTTTGCCAGTGTAGCCAGAGGCAAGCCAGCCATGGGACTCCCAGCTCCACTGCTCCCCCAGAATACTTACCTTGATAATGACTTTATTTCAGTGCTAGAACTGCCACTTCCATTTTATTGCACTGTGAAAGGGCTTCTCCTGGCTTCTCCTTTTATCTTGGGTTTGATCTTGAGTGTTTGGCTTCACCAGACAGAGGGAAAAGTCAGTGTTCATTGAGTTCCCCTTGTTTCTCTGCTGCGTTCTGCTCTGGGCCCAGAGTGGGTGTGTTTTGCTGAGGATTTACTCCAGAGGACACTGTTTTCCAGTTTGGGATGTGCAACCTTGGATAGCTTGCCCAGGGCAGAGACTCCTGGGGTGGAGGCAGCAGCCCAGGGTTCAGTGGCAGGGACATTCTTGCACTCAGGGACATAATTTCTCCCTGTGTATGCACAACATGTGCTCAGGTAACAGCTCGTGGAGCTCAGCTCCAGTTTGTGTGTGCAAAGATCCTGATTTGGGAGAGAGAGGAGCAACTGCAGTCTGAACACAGCCCAGCCACGTTGTCTCTGCATCTCCTGTTGGTTCTGACTCTGGGTGGGATTTTGGGAGGGTTTGGCTCACAGGACTGCAGGCAGGTGGCCGTGCCCTGGTTCTGGCAAGTCCAGCTGTCCTTGAGGAGCAGGGCTGTGGAGAAGTTTAGGAGGAGCAGCTCTGTGGGACCATCTTTGCTGGCAGTGCAGGAGAGGAGGTTTGGCCTTGTTGCCAGAAGAGAGGACCTGATCCAGGTTGGTTTTTTCCTTTGTCCATGTAATTTTCTCAGAAGCCTTCAGCCCACACTCTGAGTAGAGCCCTGGGTGCCATGTTCTTTGATGGGATTTGAATTTGCAAGAAATTGGTGTTTTCTCCTCATAATCAGAGTATTGATGAAACCATGTTTTGTTCAAGAGACTCATCAACTGGGCAAAGAAAAGTTGCTTTTAGAAATGTTTCTGTTCGTGTGAAACATTCATCACTCTTATTAGAGTGCATGAGTAAACACTTCCCTGGCTTTCTTTCCATTGACCTGAGCTGAGGATGCATAGGGAATGACTTTTCTGGCTGCCAGAATGAATAAATGTTGGGTAAATATTGAGCTCTGTTACCTCATGGCCAGGACAGCTCCTTGGGTACAGGCTGTGACTTGGTGCAGGTCAGTTGTGCCCTCCCCTTTGTCCCCCTGGCACCTTGAATGTCCTGGGGCGTTGGGAGGAGCTCCCATGGAGTCAGAGCAGTTCTGACCCTGCTGAGATCAGGAGAAGGTGGAGCAGGGATGGCTTTTCTGCTTTTCACTAAAGGGCTTTTTTCAGACATCCCTTCCTTGCTGCCCCTCCAGCCTGAGATTCCCCTTCTGCTTTCACTCCCAGCAGAGGTGAAAGCTGAAAGCACATCTTTGCTAGGGAGCTGGGAAGAAGGATGTTGCAGGTTGTCTCCTTCCAGTTGAATAGGATAATGATGTCCTTCCTGGACAAGAAAGCAGGCAGAGAGTGCAGTAATTTCACTAATAACGTGCTGATTTGCATGATTAGGGGCATAATAGCCTGACACAGCAGTGTGTGTGCATCCAGCAGCCACTTACTGACAGCCAGGTGCTGCTGGTCCATCCACACCAACCTGAGACAGCAAAGGAAACAGGGGGGTCGTAAAAATAACAGCTTATTTATTTCTCTCTCGTTGTGTTCATTTGGGGAATTACTATGTGCTTTCCCCTGCAGCCCTGTTCAAACCACCCACGTGGCTTTCAGAGGTTGGAGGTGGTTCAGGTTTTAAATAGCTGGGAAAGACGTGGGATCAACTGAAAAAAAATGGGAACATCCAGGAGGTTCTTCTATTTTTTGCCCCTTAAATGCAGGTCGCTGCTGTGCTGCAACTCTCTCAGCACTTCAGATCCTGTAGCACAGCAAACAGCTCTTTAATTATTATTGTTTTTCCCCCAAACAAGCAATACTTGGTGTTAATTTGTAGCTGAATGTGCCTGTGTTTATCCAACAATCTATGAATGTGGTAAAGGCAATTCCATGCCCAATCATGAATATTAATCATACAGTTCAATTAACAAGAGCTGAAATTCCATGACAGTTTGAAAGTAATGGTTTAATTGAAAAGGCCTTTGGAAAGTACATTTGCAAAATCATTTGAGCCAACAAATTCTGTAATACTTAAGCCATTTGTTGATTTTTGACTTGTGAATAATTAATGTTCTCATCCAGACTCCCCTCTCAGTACAAATATTCCTCTGGGACACAGCAGTATTTTTTAGCACATGAAAAGTCACATAATCCATACTTAGTCTTAGACTTCTGCAGAAGATCACAACAGAAAATAATCATGTTAATCCTATTTACTATTATTTTCATCGCCTAAAAATGATTTACTTACTGCCTGTCCAAAGTTGTTGGAGTTTCCTTCACCAGTGCCATGTTTTTAGTGCTGCTTCCTTTTGAGGGGGGCTCAGAGGCCGAGTACCTGCAGAGTGCTGCATCCTGAGGAGCTCCAAGACCTTGGAAGGCAGAGAGTTGCCTTCGCTCTTGGACGAAATCCGGGCTGGTTTTGTTCTATTAATTGAAGTCTGAGTCAGTGTTGGTTGTTGTTACATGCTCCCTTTGCATCTGCATTGGCTCCAAATCAATATTTGTGTCTTTAATCCCCACGTGTTGTCTCCCAAGCACAGAGGTGGGATGTGTGTAGACTTTTGATGCTGAGCTCTGGTTTTGGTGCACGGTGTGAAGGTCCTGGCACAAAAAGGAGGCTGAGAGGAAAAGCCTCCTGACTTGTTGTATGACCACCGGGTGCCTCTTGTGT